AAAAAAAATCACAGTCCACACAAAGAAGCAAGGTAAAGCAGGATAAACAAGGGACCAGGATACAGACCTAGAACACATCCCTGAGGAAGATGCAGCTTTAGAACTCCCAGATAAGGAATTCAAAAGAATTATATTTAGATACCTTCAATGAATTGAGAGACTGATATATCAGTGAAAACACTGACAAAATGGAAGAACAGAGAAAACCCTAGAACAATTTCAAAAGACAATACAAGATACCCAGACACTATGAGAGAGAGATCCAATAGATCTACCATCTCATGACCATAGTACTGGGGGACACCAGACTCAATTGGCACAACAAAAGCCTTATTCCACGTCCTACATTAGTGAGTAACAACTGGGTTCTTAAAAGCTTTCAAGTGGCCATCTAAGATGCAGCTAATGGTCTCCTGGCATCAGATGCAAGGAAGATGTGGAGGTTATCTAACAATATCATTAATATCACATGCAAGTAAAATCTTGTTGTTTTTGTTATGTGCTGTTGAGTTGGCCCCGACTCATAATGACCCCTCCTTGGGTTTCCGAGGCAGTATCACTACAGCAGTAAATTGTTCAGCCTTCCTTCCGAGGAGTGGCTGGTGGGTTTGAACCACCAGCCTTCTGGTTAGCAGTCAAGTGCTTTAGGTACTACGTTACCAGAGCTCCCAACTAAAATCTTACTGAAGATAATTCAAAAATAGTTGTAGCAGTATATTGACAGAGATCTTCTAGAAATGCAAGCTGTATTCAGAAGAGGACATGGAATGAGAGATATCGTCGCTGATGTCTGACAGATCTTGGCTGAAAGCAAAGAATATCAGCAAGATGTTTACTTGTGTTTTATTGCCTATACAAAAGCATTTGATTTTGTGGATTATAACAAATTGTGGTTAACATTGAGAAGAATGGGAATTTCAGAACACTGCATTGTACTCACGAGGAACCTGTACATAGGTTCCTGTCATTCTAACAGAACAAGGAGATACTGCATGGTTTAAAATCAACAGGGGAGTGTGTCAGGGTTTATCCTTTCACCATACTTCTTCAATATGTATGCTGAACAGATAATCCAAGAAGCTGAACTATACGAAAAACATGGCATCAAGATTGGAGGAAGAACGTTAGCAACCTGCGATACGCTGACGACACAACTTTGCTTGCTGAGAGTGAGGATGACTTTGAAGCACTTACTGATGAAGATTGAAGAATACAGTCTGCACTATGGATTATATCATTATAAAGAAAACAGAAATCCTTACAACTGGACCTATAAGCAGCATCATGATAAACAGAGAAAAGCTTGGTTTTATAATCAGTGCCAATGTAAGCAGCAATCAGAACAGCAGACGTATAGCCCTGGGCAAGTCGGCTGCAAAGGACCTCTTTCACGTGCTGTGGAGCAAAGATGTCTCCTTGAGGACTAAGGTGCATCTGACACAAGCCATGATATTTTCATTTGCCTCATATGCATGTGATAGCTGGACAATTAATAAGGAAGATCAAAGAAGAACTGATGCTTTTGAGTTATGGTACTGGTGAAGAATGCTGAAAGTACCATGTACTGCTAAGAAACCTAACAAATCTTTCGTGGAGGAAGTACAGCTGGTATGCTCCTTGGAAGGGAGAATGGCCAGGCTTCGTCTCACCTACTTTGGTCATGTTGTCAGAAGGGAGGGACATTCCCTGGAGGAGGATGTCATGCTCAGTAAGGTGGAGGGTTGATGAAAGAGGGGAAGGCCCTCAACGAGATGTATGACACAGTGGCTTCGGTGATGGGCTCAAGTATAGCAAGGATCATGGAGGTGGTGCGAGACTGGTGTTTCGTTCTGCTATGCATAGGTTCACTATGAGTCAGAGATGACTCAATGGCACCAAACAACAATAATAACTTGACATTTATCCAAGTTGACTGTAATTTGTTTATCTTCATTAGTGTTTAATATTGCATTGTACAGATAAAGCATAATCTGTCTGTTCAACCATTGCAAGTTATTTGAATAATTTTTGTTTGAGGGTTATTATGAATATTCATGTGTATGTTTTATTATATACATGTGTATGTACTTCAGCTGAGTGTATACCTAGAAGTGGAATTACTGGATCTTATGGTATCCGTATGTTCAGTTGTAGTAGATAATGTCAAGTAGTGTTCAGGGTGGTTTGTCAGTTTATAATCCTGACAGCATTATTTGAGAGTTCTTGTTCTCCTTTCTTATTAACAATTAGTATTGTCAGTCTTCATAATTTTAGCTATTCTTGAAGATCTGTTTCTTTGATGACTAATAAGGTTGAGTATCTTTTCTTAAGCTTATTGGCTGTTCATATATTATCCACATATTTTCAGTAGGAAGGATATTCTGCTTACTTTTTTTATGAGGTGGTCCATCTTTTCTTACATGTATGGATAGGATCCATTTGTTGTTAAATATGTTAGTGTTATTTTCCATTCTGTGGCTTGGCTTTTTCACTTTCATAGTGGTTTCTTCCTAGTCTTCCATCATCTTTACTGTACCCCTTTTCTCTCTCTCTCTCTCTCTCCTACTTGGTTCTGAATCAAGGTATCAGATCTTAGCTCTCAGTTCTTGGTTCTCTTCTTTCCATCTGTTCTCCGTGGAAGAATTCATCAACTCTGATGACTTCAAGATTTTATCTCCAGACAAATCTATCTCTTGAACTCCAAATCCTTATATCCATAATACCCATGAGAATTGCTACATGCATGTTCCATAGACATTTCAAGCTCATTAATTCCAAAACGAAACTCATTACTTCTTCCTAAACCCAGTTCTGTGTTTTCTAACTCTTAATACCCCCAGCTGATAGGCCTTCCTGTCCTATACCTTTGTAAGAACTTGATTCTTTTACGAATCCTTTACCTGACACTTTTCCCCCCCAATTGTTTACTTCCTCCTTTATTTCCCATTGTAATTGTTCTGTCATAGTACTTACATTTTATCATACTTTTTCTGTTCTCCACATCGGATGATAAGCATTTTGCAGGTTTTATATCTCCATCCTTTACAATGCTTACCATATAAATACTTGAGAGTTGGCTGAGTACCTACACTAAACACTCTAAAATTGAAACCATCATGTCTTTGCGTTCTTCCTAATCTTTAAAATGACTTCTTTCTCTTTCACAGTTGAAGTTAACACCATCTTTTCAGTTACCTTATTCATTTGACTCATTGCCTTTTCTACTACATCCACAACTAGTTGGTTTGTGCTAAAGGGGCAGGGAGGTGGCATATTCTGACCTCCTCTAACTCCATAAGAGGAAGACAGAATCACCATCAGCAGCCCAAGGCCTGTTCTTATGAGGCTAGACGTGCCACCACCCTTCAGCCCTCTTACCAACCTCAACACCAATCATCCCTCCCGTGACATCCACCTCCTCTGCTGGGTTCAATAATTCTCTGCAGTGGTTCCACAGAATTTACAGATTATAGGGTTTATTAGGGAAGCAGAAGGCTACAATTCAAATTCAGGAACATGCTCAGTCTCTCTCAGTCAGCAGTCCTTCTCAGCTGGTCATCTGTCCTAGCCATCAGTCTCAGCAGTGCATCTTTCTCAGCCAGCAATCAGAGAGATTACTTCTTCCTCTTGGAGAGCTCATTTTGAGCCTGGTAGAGTGGCAAAACCGACCAATCCTAACATCAGAATTCTACATATCTGAGAGAGCGAGCGAACTTTCCAGAAGATTATTTCTTGGTGCCCCAGGTGGATGACTTTAACTCAGTTGCTCATGGTAAAGTGGGAGTTACAAAGACTATGGCTAGAAAAACTATACCATGTAATTCACTACACCACAGTTTGAAAGTCCACAGCTATTTCTTCTTTCCATTTCCTTAGCTTTTATTCAGGTTCTCATTTTTCTTCACTAGACAATTTTAATTGCTATTTAAACGCTTTACCTGTCTTTAGGCTTTTCCCCATTTGTCTTTAATACTGCTACTGAAATTATTCTCTTTAAATACAGATGGTCGTCTCCTTGTTCAAAAACTTTCTATTGCTTTTCTTTGCCTGAAAGGCAGAGTCTAACTTTTTACAAGGTTTTCAGTGGCATGAATTGACCTAGCTTCTTTTCTGTCTTCTTATCACAGAAAAAGCAAAAAAAAAAAAAAAAAGCCAAACTCACTGTGGATCCGACTCATAGCGACCCCTCCTTGGATTTCTGAGGCAGAATCACTACGGAAGTAGATTTTCCAGTCTTCTTCCAAGGAGTGGCTCGTGAGTTGAGCCGCCAGCCTTAGGCACTATGCCACCAGAGGATATATCCATTAAACACTGATTGTAGCAGGCTACATACTTAAGTTCATACTGCTTATGCGATTGTATTGCCCTTTACACCATCCTGTTACAGGGAGGTAGGGCTATAAAGGAACATAGACACCTGGTTTTAAATCTTGATTCTAAAACATACTATCTGTTGTCTTAGGACAAGCTTCTTAAGACCCCATAACATAGTACTGGCACTTAATACATATTATCTTCCTCTTTCAACCCTTCCCTTCCTCCAAACCCCAGTTGGTATTTCTCTCTCTCATGTCTACAGAGGACTGACTGTGTCTTACAGCACTTAATGCCTTATGCCTTACATTATGTTAATCTGTATCTTTTCACATTCCTTCTAGATTGCATGCTTACAAAGGGATGATACTGTATCTTGTACTTAGGTCAATTAAATCTTTCAATCTTAGGTTAAGGATTTGCTTTATTTAATCCATATTGTCATTTAGTTTCTAAATGACCAAAAATGATTGGTATTTTATTTTTTGACATAAAGTTGTGACCACAATGACCAGTTGAAAAGGCCCAGACAGAGTAGGCTTTGTAAAAATTCACCAACTTTGTCAGAATAATAAGAGAGTGATCCAGTTGTCCTAAAGGTACATATAACTAACTGTTGTAGGGATTTAAAACTTAAATTTTTATGTCTTTGTATTAGTCTTTTAAAACAAAATTGGTATCTGAGTGAATTGTGTTTTTCTTTACAGCCAGTTGCTGAACCAATCCCCATCTGTAGTTTCTGTCTTGGTACAAAAGAGCAAAACCGAGATAAGAAGCCAGAGGAGCTCATCTCCTGTGCTGATTGTGGCAACAGTGGTATGTGATTCCCCATGTGTTTCTTCTAAAACTTGTTATAAAGGCAAGAGGAAAGTGTTTAACTGAGTATGTATCCTCAATCATTATGTTATGAATATTTTAATTGGATTTTTGTTTTAGGTAACTGAGAGGAGCTTTTAGACTAGGTAGGGATTTGATTGTGTAGTTCGCACAGTAAATTAATTCAGTTCATTGAAGTCAGTTAAGTCAGTTTTTAGAGGGTTCCCCGCACCCTTTTTTTAACCTTTCTGTAGACTTCTTTTTTCCTGTTGATCTTTATATCTCACTATCAAACATGCGTACGAAGTATGAATCTAGGAAAATGGGAAGTTGTCAAAAATGAAATGGAATGCATAAAGATTGATATCCTAGGCATTAGTGAGCTGATGTGGACCAGTTTTGGCCATTTTGAATCAGACAACCGTATGATCTACTGTGCCGGGAATGACAATTTGAAGAGGAATGGTGTGGCATTCATCATCGCAAAGGATGTGTTTCAAGATCTGTCATGAAGTACAGTGCTGTCAGTGATAGGACAATCTATACACCTACATGGAAGACCCGTTAATACTACTGTTATACAAATTTACATACCAACCACCAAAGCCAAAGATGAGGAAAATGAAGATTGGTATCAACTTCTGCAGTCTGAAATTGACCCAACATGCAATCAAGATGTGTTGTATATCACTGGTGATTGGAATGCAAAAGTTGGAAACAAAGAAGAATCACGATAGTTGGAAAATTTGGCCTTGCTGACAGAAATAACGCTGGAGAGCTCATGATAGAATTTTGCAAGACCAGTGAATTCTTCATTGCAAATACCTTTTTTTCAACAACACAAACAGTGGCTATACACGTGGACTTTGCCAGATGGAGTACACAGGAAGCAGATTGACTACATCTGTGGCAAGGAGAGATGGAAAAGCTCAATATCTTTAGCCAAAACCAGGCCAGGAGCTGATCACAGAACAGACCATCAACTGCTCATATGCAAGTTCAACTTGAAGCTGAAGGCAATTAAAAGAAGTCCACGAGAGCCAAAATATGACCTTGAATATATCACTCCTGAATTTAGAGACCACCTAAAGAACAGATTCGATGCACTGAACACCAAAGACCAAAAACAAGAGGAATTGTGGGATGACATCAAGAACATCATCCATGAAGAAAGCAAGAGGTCATTAAAAATATGAGAAATAAAGAAAAGACCAAAATTGATGTCAGAAAAGACTCTGAAACTTGCCCTTGAGTGAAGAGTCTCTTCCATTTGCTAAGGCAAAGACAAATGGAAGAAATGAGGAGATAAAGGAGCTAAACAGATTTCAAAGAGCAGCTCAGACAAAGCCAGTTACTGTAAGGAAATGTGCAAAGACCTAGAGTTATAAAACCAAGGGAAGAACATGCTTGGCATTTCTCAAGCTGAAAGAACTGAGGAAATTCAATTTAAGCCTCGAGTTGCAATATTGGAAGATTCTATGGGCAAAATATTGAATGATGCAGGAAACTTCAAAAGAAGATGGAAGGAATACACAGAGTCACTGTACCAAAAAGAACTGGTGGATCTTCATTAATTTCAGGAGGTGGCATATGTTCAAGAACCAGTGGTATTGAAGGAAGAAGTTGAAGCTGCAGTGAAGGAATTGGCAAAGAACAAGTCTCCAGGAATTGACAGAATACCCATTGAGATGATTCGGCAAATGGATGCCATGCTGGAGGCATTCACTCGGCTATGCCAGGAGATTTGGAAGACGGCTACCAGGCCACCTGACTGGAAGAGATCCGTGTTTGTACCCATTCCAAATGTGATTCCACAGAATGTGGAAATTATCTAACAATATCATTAATATTGCATGCAGGTAAAATCTTTCTGAAAGTAGTTCAAAAACAGTTGCAGCAATATTTGAGAGAGAGCTTCCAGAAGTGCAAGATGGATTCAGAAGAGGACATGGAATGAGGGATATCATTGCTGATGTCAGATGAATCTTGACTGAAAGCAAAGAATACCAGAAAGATGTTTACTTGTGTTTTATTGACTATGCAAAAGCATTTGATTGTGTGGATCATAAGAAATTGTGGATAGCATTGAGAAGAATGGGAATTCCAGAACACTTGATTGTACTCGTGAGGCACCTGTACCTTGACCAGGAGTCTGTCGTTCAAACGGAACAAGGGGACACTACATGGTTTAAAATCAAGAAGGGAGTGTGTTAGGGTTCTGTCCTTTCACTATACTTATTCACTGTATACGTTGAGCAAATAATCCGAGAAGGTGGACTATATGAAGAAGAACGTGGCATCAGGATTGGAGGAAGAATCATTAACAACCTGTGATATGCTGATGACACAACTTGGCTTGCTGAAAGTGAGGATGACATGAAGCACTTACTGATGAAGGTTGAAGACTACAGCCTGCAGTATGGATTACATCTCAATATAAAGAAAACAAAATTCCTCACAACTGGTCCTATAAGCAACATTATGATAAATGGAGAAAAGATTAAAATTGTCAAAGACTTCACATTACTTGGTTCTACAATCAATGCCAATGGAAGCAGCAGTCAGGATATCAGACAACGTATAGCACTGAGCAAGTTGGCTGTAAAAGACCTCTTTCAAGTGGTGAAGAGTAAAGGTGTCTCCTTGAGGACTAAGGTGCACCCGACACAAGCCATGATATTTTCAACTGCCTCGTATGCATGTGAGAGCTGGACAATGAATAAGGAAGACCGAAGAAGAATTGATGCTCTTGAGTTGTGGTATTGGCAAAGAATGCTGAAAGAACTAACAAATCTGTCTTGGAGGAAGTGGAGCCGGAATGCTCCTTGGAAGCGAGAATGGCCAGACTTCCTCTTAAATACTTTGGTCATGTTGTGAGAAGGGACCATTCCCTGGAGAAGGATATCATGCTTGGTAAGGTGGTGGTGGTTGTTTGTTGTTATGTGCTGTCAAGTCAGACCCGATTCATAACAACCCCTCCTTGGGTTTCCAGGGCCTTATGACTACAGAAGTAGATTGCCCAACTTTCCTTTCGAGGAGTGGCTGGTGAGTTTGAACTGCTAGCCTTCTGGTTAGCAGGCAGGTGCCTTAGGCACTACGCTACCAGAGCTCCTCTCGTAAGGTGGAGGGTCAGTGAAAGAGGGGAAGGCCCTCAGTGAGATAGTTTGACACAGTGGCAGTGGCAATGGGCTTAAGTATAGCAGGGATCATGCAGCTGGCACACAACCGTGCGTTGTTTCATTCTGCTGTCCATAGGGTCACTATGAGTCAGGGACAACTCAGTGGCACCTAACAGCAACAACAACATCAAACATCTGCTGAAATCACAGCAATCAGTTTGAAATTATTGCTGGCTCTTTAATAATCACTACTTGTCTTTCTTGATGTATGCCTTGGGCTTGATGAATAGAGCCAGGGTGATAACATGTTTGTTTTTCTTCCATAACATATATATGTTGCACTGGGAAGTTGGTGTTGATACTGCAGTTTAGTGAGCAGTGTGAAAATTCTGGGCCCTAAGAAAGATTGTGCAAAAAGTCTTCTAATTTGTCAATTCTAGAGGTATTCTTGCCTCATGTTTTAGGAACTCACAAGGCCTTTCAGTAAGGTCTTAGTAGATCAACATCATTTTTTATCATTGGCTTAATTTTCAATGCTTTATGTCACTAACAATTAGAATTTAGGGCATGAAACAGAAAACATACTAAGTACTTCCAGAAGAAAGGAATTTAGTACTGGAATTAGGTATTTGTGAAATTGATGGAAGGGCTGAAGAGGCAGGCTCTAGGACAAGCTTTAAGGACTGACTCCTGGAACACAAAAGAACCAACCCAGCAGAGGAGTCACTATGTCTGCCTCCATTTGGGAGAGGTGAAAGCAGGAGGCCGCTATAGAATTGCTTAGTTCAAGGATGCACTGTTTTAGCTGGATACTCAGATGCTGAATCTGGCCATCTTCACAGCTGCCACTTGTTGGCCGTGTAGGTGAAGCGTGGATACTAGAATTTTTGTGACTTATCATTAGAAAATAGTCTAAACTGTGAGGAAGATGGTCTTTGCTTTATTTTTTGCCTTTCACATGTCATACAGATACATCCAGTTGTAAAACTTAATTCATATCAAGAGTTTTAGCTAGAAAGGATTCTAGGGAGTACAGTTTTTAGCTTTTCTATTTTTGTGGATAGAAGGCATTAGGAGGAGATATAGGACTAGATCTTGAATGCTGGTGGACCATACCAGCATAATATCACAAACCAAAATGAACTGTGGGTGAATGTCACGGTTAAATATAAACCATAAGATTATAAAAGATTAGATTAAAAATATAATGGCATGTTATATAGTGCAGTGTTTTCCAAATTATTTTAGTAATAGAACCCTTTTCCCAAGTGAAATCTTGAAACTCAAATACATAAAACAGTAAAAATAAATCTGCTCTAGTTGAAGAGGGAAGGAAATGAGGATGGGGGCAGGGAGGGCTTACAACCCTATTTTCTAGGAGCGTTACATCTGAGGTAGTCTCTGAGTTTCCTGAAACTAGGAAAGAGCACAATTTGAAAATCGCTCCTGTAGAGAGAATCTTCTATGATTTGAAATAATTGGATAAATATTAGTTATCTATTGTTTCAGAAATAAATTCCTTCAAAACAGAGCAGATTAAAGCAATAACACTTTTTATTTCATACTATTTCTGTGAGTCATGAATTTGAGAGGGGCTTAATGTAGGTGTTTTAACTTAAGACCTTTTATGGCATTGCAATCAAGATTTTAGCTGGTGCTGCCACCATCTGGAGGAGCTCTGGTAGCATAGTGGCTAAAGCACTTGACTGCTAACCAGACGGGCTGGCGGTTCAAACCCACCAGCCACTCCTCGGAAGGAAGGTTGGGCAATCCTACTTCAGTAGTGATATACTGCCTCAGAAACCCAAGGAGGGGTTGCTATGAGTCGGGGCCGACTCGACGGCATATAGCAACAACAAGAAGCCACCATCTGAAGGCTTCCATAATGGCTCACTCACATGGCTGGCAAGTTGATGCTGCCTCTTGACAGGACATCTCCATGGGGCTATATGAGTGTCCACAACATGACAACTGGCTTCCCTTGAGCATCTGTTGAAGAGAGAGAGCAAGGTGGAAGCCTCAATATCTTTCTTCTATGACATAGCTTCAGAATGCATATTCTGTCATTTCAGCACTATTCTCTTGTTACATAGGTTAGCCCTATTGATGGTGAGAGGGTGCTACATAAGGGCATGGGTACCAGGAGGCAAGAAACATGCATGGGAGAGCAACTTTGAGGCTGGCTATCACAGTAACCAAGGAAGAAAATCAGAGATTTAGTCAAATATATGAAAGTCAAGAAATATTCTAAATTCAAAACTAACATACCCAAATTAAAAAGCACAAGAATAGTTTGGGAGAAAACGATTAAATTTGTAATGTGGCACAGGCCCAAAATCTCTTAAAAGTATAAATAGCATGATTATAAATTAATTGTTGTTGAGAATATACACAACAAAAACTATCTTACAGCTTTTATGGTAATAAAAGCAGAAAGTTGAGAGAGCCCAAACCTGATAAAATGGTAGTAAAACATTTGTTCTTTTCTGGTGGCACTGGATATTGCATCATACTTTTTGGAAAATGTTCTAGTAGTGCATATCAACTTATAAGAATGTTTATTTCATATTACACACCACCTTCACTTTTAGGAATTAATCCCAAGAAGTTCATTTAAAAGGAGGAAAGAATTTATAAGCATGAAATTTTAGTGTTCTCCCTTTCTTAACTATTATGGGTAAGTCTGAATATTTAAAATAGGGAAATGGTCAAGTAGGTTATCATATATCAGCTCAGTGGAATATAATCAGTTTAAGGAGTATAAATTTAAAAAATTAACTTTATATAAGAAAAGCAAAACAAAATGGTATATGTATTAAATTACAGCCATGCAAGTGCTTTCTACTACTTATTTGAAAGGAAAAGTGGAACATGAAAATGGCTGCTATTCTAGAGTGATGGGATTATGGATAAGATTTTCACACCTCTTCTTCTGTTTTCCTTTAATGTTACTGGTCCTTTGATATTAAACTTCGAAAGAAAAATTTGTTACCATCTCATAAAACAGAAAATTCTTCAGGAAAGAAAAAAGAGGAGAGTCTTTTCTCTTACCAAAGAATAATAAACATAACCAACTTTTGCAGGAAGAAGACAATCTTCTTAGTTACTGTTCAGGGAAATTGACTCTTGATCTGTATTCTCTGCTACCCTACATTTTGAGAATCCAATTAAAAATAACTTATGGAAAGAGAAGCATTTTCCCTGATGCTATTAATTATGATTACAATAGAAATAGTGAGTATGGTTTAGTTTTTTAGCTTGAATACCTTAAATCATAAGCAAATAACTCACTTTAAATGATTGAAGTTTTGTTATATAATTATAAAAGTAGCACACTCAGAAAGTTAGACATGTTATGAGTTCAAAAATGAGAACGTAAAAGTATAAAGTGAAATGTAAAGTCCTTCCCCTTCAAAATAGAGCTATGTATTTTCTGGAAGGTGAATGAAAATACAAGAAAACGAAACAGTTTTTTTTTTTTAAATATATTTTTGGAAAAATGACCTGGGCATATTACAAATTCATATGCACACATGTGTATGCATGTGCCAAAATAAAATATTTTAATTAATGCAGAAATAATGAAAGTTTGGAGTTTGTCAGGTTTTTTAAAAATCAAACTTTGGGGATGAGTTCCAAATTATGTTTAGTATTAATAGAATTAAATTGAGTTGCCAATACTAATCTGAGATGAATGGCAAGCTTTCAAAATCACCTTTTTTTTGTTTTATATTTGTATTTAAGATAATTGCCATTTTCTACATCATTTCTTGGTAAAATTAAAAAATCATTCTTGACTGTTTCAATTGTGATTTTTTTTTTTGTTTTGTTTTGTTTTAAATCCCTCTCTTAATAGGTCATCCATCCTGTTTAAAATTTTCCCCTGAACTAACGGTCAGAGTGAAGGCCTTACGGTGGCAGTGCATTGAGTGTAAAACATGCAGCTCCTGTCGAGATCAAGGCAAAAATGCAGTGAGTATCTTCATTCTGAGTATTTCACATACAAGGAAAACATAGAAATGATGTTCATGTAAGTACAGTTTGTTACAGTTTGGTTACTTAGTCCATCAGAGTTTAGAACAGTATCCTCTTTGAATTACATATCATTAGTTTAGAATATATGCTCATTTTAGACATGGATTATTTCTAAGTCATTTCCCCATGTATTAAATTTGCAGAGAGACTATGCCGTTTTAAAGAAATTGTCCTTAAATTTCTTTAAACAATGTGGAGGCATTCATTTAGGAATGGTCAAATAGTATATTAATTACAAATTGTTCTTTTCTCATTTGTGTTAAAACAGACCAGGATTAAGTTTATTTCTAGTTACTAGATATACTTTAAAATAATGAGCTGTAGTTCTTTATCAAAGATTGGATAAAGCAAAACTTTGCACCAGCTTGTACTCTGCATTTACTTAACTAATAAAAATTAAGTAAACTTTTACTGTTAAAGGTAACTCATCTCCTTTTTGAGATCTTTGATGTGCCACACATTTTTTTAAGTCATGGTCCTAGTGTGTTTCTCTTTCATGAAGTTAATCAGAACTACACTTTCTTTTTTCCTAGGATAACATGCTCTTTTGTGATTCGTGCGACCGAGGTTTTCACATGGAATGTTGTGATCCACCACTCACCCGAATGCCAAAAGGTGAGAAATGTTTTCTGAAATCAATCTGAGAATATAAAGGAACATGTTAATGAAAGCATTTTATCTACCTTGTTAGATCAATTTGGATCTTTCTTATTTGCAGTGGTAATGTAGGAAGAATGTTGATAAGGTTTTCTGTTAAGCACTTTATCATTTTTATCTGATGTAGATTTATTATTTTCTTCTATGTTCAATATTTAATAATCCGTGGAGGATGAAGTGGCTCATTTATAAATACTTGGCTAATTTTGTATCTAGAGTACAAAATACTTGCCTTATGTAATATTTTGAACTATCTATTTGAAGGAGGAAATGAAATTGTGTAGGGTCATTGATTACATCACTGCTCATCACCAAGGCATACAGATTTCTTAACTTTTTATATTATGATAAAATTTACATACAAATCAGTGCACAAATCAATCATTAGGGTATAGCTTAATGTTACTCTATTTCTGTTGACTCCTGTTCTTCTTCTTCTTCTTTTTTGTTTTTAAGTACATTTTATTGAAATACAATTTATGTACCGTGAAATACACAAAACTAAAGTGACATGGGTAAATCCTTTCTTTTTTTTGCAGTGTTCCCTCCACTCCCGCCTGGTAACCAACAAAGAGTGTTTCTTTGCATATATGAACCTTTCCTGGAATTTTTACAATAATGAACTAATACTATATTTGTCCTTATGTGATTGACTTATTGCACTCAGCATAATGTCCTCCAAGTTCATCCATGTTGTGTTTTTTAGATTCTACATTATTCTTTAGTGTTGCCTAGTATTCCATTGTATGTATGTACCATAGTTTGGTTCTCCATTCTTCTGTTGTTGGGCACCTAGGTTGTTTCCATCTTCTTGCTATTGTAAATAATTCTGCAGTGAACATGGATGTGTATATGTATGTTCTTCTCCTGGCTCTCACTTCTTTAGGATATATAACTAGTAACGGAATTGCTGGATCAGTGGTATTTCTAATTCCAGCTATTTAAGGGATCGCCATACTGTTTTCCACAATGGTTGTATCATTTTGCAGTCCCACCAGCACTGTATGAGAGTCCCAGTCTCTCCACATCCTCGCCAACATTTGTTATTTTCTGTTTGTTGAACTTTGCCATTAGTGCTGGGCTGAGATGGTATCTTGTCGTTTTGATTTGCATCTTGCTGATGGCTAATGATTGTGAGCATTTCTTCATGTGTTTGTTGGCTGCCTGAATATCCTCTTTGGTGAAGTGTCTTCTCATGACTTCTGTCCGTTTTTTAATTGGATTGTTAAGCTTTTTGTTGTTGAGGTGTTGGGAGTTTTCTATAAATTTTAGAAATAAGTCACTTGTCAGATATATTGTGGCCAAATATTTTTTCCCAATCTGTAGGTTTTCTTTTTACTCTTTTGGAGAAGTCTTTTGAAGCACATAAAAATTTAATTTTTAGAAGGTCCCATTCATCTATTTTATCTTCTGCTGTTTGTGCATTTTGGGTTATGCTTGACAGTCTATTTGTGCCATAGATCAGGGCCCCTAAATCTGCCCCAGTTTTTCCTTGAGGAACTTTATAGTTTTAGGTTTTACATTTAAGTCTTTGATCCATCTGGAGTTCGTTATTGTGTATGGTGTGACGTACAGATCTTGGTTCATTTTTCTGCAAATGGCTATCCAGTTATGCCAGCACTATTTGTTAAAGAGACCATCTCTTCCCCATTGAATGGATTTCAGCCCTTTTTCAAAGATCAGCTGACCATAGGTTGATGGATCTATTTCTGCATTCTCAATTCTGTTCCACTGGTCTAAGTGTCTGTCATTGTACCAATACTAGGCTCTTTTTACTGACTATTGTGTCTATACAATAGATTTTGAGATCCAGGAGTGTGAGACCTCCTAGACTCACAGGAGGTGAAGACTTTGTTCTTCTTTTTCTATAGTGCTTTGCTTATTTGAGCTCTCTTTCCTTTCTATATAATATTAGTGATTGTTTTTTCCATATCCTTAAAGTATGCTGATGGGATCTGGATTGGGATTGCATTGAGTATATACATTTCTTTGGGTAGATTTGACATTTTATCACAATGGTCAGTCTTCCTATCCACGAGCATGATATGTTCTTCCATTTATGTTGATGTCTTATGGTTTCTTGAAGTAGTGATACAGTTTGCTTTGCCTTTTGTGTCCCTAGTGAGATTTACTCCAGGTATTTTATTTATTTTTTTGGTAGCTATTGTAAATGGTACTGATTTCCTTATTTCATTTTCAGCAGTCTCTTTGATGTTATAGAGGAATCCAACTGATTTTTATATATTGGTCTTATATCCTACCACTATGTTAAATATCTCCATTAGTTCCAGTAATTTCTTTGCTGAATCTCTTGGGTTTTCTAGGTATAGGAGCATATCATTAGCAAAGGATAGTTTGACTTCTTCCTTACAAATTTGGATGCCTTTGATTTCCCTTTCTTGCCTTATGGCCCTGGCTACGACTTCAGTACAGTGTTGAATAGAAGTGGTGACAGAGGGCATCCTTGTCTCGTTCCTGTTTGCAAGGGGAATGGTTTCGGTCTCTCTCCATTCAGAATAATGTTGGCTTGGAATAGATGCCCTTTATTATGTTGAGGAATTTCCCTTGTATTCTTCTTTTGCTGAGAGTTTTGATCAGGAATGGGTGTTGGATTTTATCAAATGCCTTTTCTACATCAATTGATATGATCATGTGGTTATTTTCCTTTATTTTGTTTATGTGGTGGATGATGATTGTTTTTTTAATGTTGAACCATCCTTGCATACCTGGTATTGGTAATAATATATATAGATTTTTGATATGTTGTTGGAGTCTATTAGCTAAGATTTTGTTGAAGAATTTTACATCTGTATTTGTGAGGGCTATTGATCTGTAGTTATCCTTTTGAGTGATGTCTTTGCCCGGTTTTTGTGTCAAGGTGTTATGCTTGCTTCATAAAATGAATTTGGGAGGATTCCATCATTTTCTGTGTTCTGGAATAGTTTGAGTAGGATTGGTGTCAGTTCTTCTCTGAATGTGTGGTAGAATTCTCAGTCAAACCATCTGGGCCAGGGCTTTGTATGTTGTTAATTTTTTCATGACCTGTTCAATTTTATCTTTTGTTAGGGTTCTGTTTAAATTTTCCACCTCAGCCTCTGTTAGTTTAGGTAAGTAGTATGTTTCTAGAAATCTGTCCATTTCTTCTAGATTTTCGAATTTGTTGGAGTATACTTCTTCATAGTATCCAGATACTATCTTTTTAATATCCATTGGTTCTGTTGTGGTGCTGCCCAATGCATTTCTTGCTCCTGTTATCTGTATTCCCTCCCTCTTTTCCTTTGTTACATTTGCCAGTGGTTCGTCAGTTCACCGATCTTTTCTAAGAACCAACTTCTAGTATTGCTGATTTTTTTCT